GTAATTGACAATGTGCCTGATCCATAAACACATCTATTCAGTCTAATTCTATGTTTTGTCCCCTGAGCAACGTCATGCTTTATTATTTGAAATTTAAATTCAAAAATACTTTATTGAGCCCTCAGGGAATTGAAATAACTACAAATTACCCACAACAAGAAACTCTTGTCCAAAACAACAAAAACACTATCTACTGATAGTAAACCTTAGATATCTGTATTGGTAACGGAAGTGAAAAAAGTGCATCGGTACATCCCTACTACAGATACTCTATGAACCATGAAGCTTATCTGAACCGGTTCTGTTCTTTGTGTTCCCAGCAAAGAGCTCGTTGACCCGGCCTCATCGCAGACCTGTTCAGCTCATAGCGCTCCTCCTGCTGCTAATGAAAGAGAGCCCCTCTCTGCTGCTGTTGACGAAAGGGCTACAATGCTGCCTGGACCTCTTCCTCCTCCTCACCACACATCATCCTCTGCTGTTGGCTCCTCACCTTCAGTTACTGCTTCCAAGACGCACACTGTTGCACCCAGAGAACTGTCAGCCTTCCCCTCAGAGCCAGTCTGCTGTTCAAGTGCTAATGGGATCTCTGCAACTGCTCAGAACATTAGCAAAACCGAGGAAGAAGTTAAGGATTCCTCGCAGACAAACGGTCCATCAGCACGGCAGGACGGTGGTACGGAGAACAAGGAGCAGAGCCAATCCAAGCCCAGTTCTAGAGGCCATGAAAGGCAGTCCTCCCATGACAGGGACAGAGACAGATTCTACTCTGACTATAGCAAAGATAGAGACAGACACTACAGGGACAGAAGTCCACCACGAGAAAGTTACAGCAATCGCCATCGGTATAGGCGAGACTACCGGGATCACCATCGCTCCTACAGAGATCGATTTCCTCCCGAACGGAGCTACTGGGACTTTGACCGCCGCAAGGAACGACTCAGCTCGCACTCTTGGGAGCACGATCGCGACCGGCGCTCGTACCATTCCAGCCATTGCTACCACAGGTATGATGGGAACCATGAGAGGAGGGGATACCCACACCCTCAAGAGTCTCACAGCTACTGGCGGTCGCAAAAGGACGGTCGGGAATACTGGGCAATGAAGGACAAAAGGAATGGGTGGGATAGGGAAGAAAGGAGTTCCTCCCCAGCTGCTACTGCTCTAGAAACAAATAAGCCCAAGGTTTCCCCCCCCTGGGACCGCCTCTGTAATTTTAACTCGACTCTTAAGAGGGAGGAGCCGAGTGATAAGAGGCCAGCTGCTCATCTAAGAAAGGAGAGAGAGGACAGCTCAGAGGGCCGCCGCTCCAAAAAACACAAAAAAAGCAAGAAGAAGAAGAAGTCAAAAGATAAAGACAGGCATCACGAGAGCAGGTAAGACCTGCACAAATAAAGGTTTGTTCCCCCAGCATGGTGCTGCCTAATGTTAGGACTCAAATGTCTTATATTTGAAATGTTTAGATGGCTCAGTGTAGCTGAGTCGATGAGATCTAGGACATGGTAGGACTCTCAGCCTTTTAGGTCAGGCTGTTGTAGACTTGTTCTGTAGAGTGGATCAGAACAGATCAACCCTACAACAAGATCCCTGACAACACAGAAAGGTAAAACTTTCACAACTTCCACACTTCACAATATTCACCTATAAAATCACAGTTACATTTTCCAGTTATCATGCAGCCCCAGTAAAATGTGAAGCACCACTGCAAATGTATGAACAAGTCAAAAGAGAGGAAATGGAGATTAAAGGTTAACATCCACCAATTTCTGAGATTTTTTTTTTTTGGCAAAGCATACTAGTTCAAGTCATGAAGAAACCAATCCATGCTTTAAATAGCAATTTCAGAGGTTTAACAATTGTAAACATAATGTTTGAATTCAGTTTGTTTACAGAGTAAATTTGAGCTGTTTAAGGGTAAACTCATAGCTGATCAACATACCGTGCTTTATTGGCTAAACACTCGCTTTTGTTTTGGATTCACCCAATAAGTTGCAAGTCTAAAGTAAACACATGGCTCATGAATATCACCAACACATCAGTCATCCCACTTGAAAACTGGACTTTATGTCGCTAGCACTTATCAGTCATCAACTCACAGGTGGAAGTGAAAGCGTTGTGCAACATAAATAATCACACGGTTGGAACACGGTGCGCTAAATAGTAAAACATAATGTAACGAAGCTTCGAGGTAGATAATTTGCCCCAAGGAATTTTAATAATCGAGTTCTCAAATCATTCAAGGAATCGTTACAGTCATAGTTTGACAGCACTGGAAAGATTAGAATCTACACATTCGAATCTGTAAATAACTCAAAACGCTCCGAGTAGACTTGTTCATTTTATGTTTAATGTGTATTCCTTTATATGTATATTGAAATTCTAGAAAAATTCTACTTTTAGTAGTAATAATTGTTAATTGTAGAAATGATTAAACATTTGTGTAGTTTGGCTTTCTATTGTAACAGAGTCAGCTTTTATTTCCTGACTTTGTACATGGGCCTTATTTAAACTGCATTACCTTATTAAGAGTGATAGGTGGCGCTCCTTTTGTTTCCATACTGACAGCTCATGGATTTTGTGAGCAGGAATAGTTCTAGTATGGCAGATTTGTTTTTCTTGCAAGCATTAAAGGAGTAGTTACATTTTTCCAGCCAAGCAGTTGTGTACAGTAACATTTTTCTTTCCTCCATACGGCCGGGGAGAAAAAATGATGCTGTTTTTGGGAGAGGGTCATACAAAATGACTGACTCTTGAATTTTCAGATGGATTATTCAGTTTGTTTTTGTTTTTTGTTTTCTCTCTCTCTACGTGAAGCTCTGACCCGGATTCAGACAGAGCCACCGAGAGCAGGAAGAAGAAAAAGAAGAAGCGACGGCACAGGGACAGCGACTCTGACTCCGGACGAGGCCACGCCAACAGAAGCAGCAAAGAAAGGGAGAACCGGAAGCGCCATCACTCTGACACCAAGGACTCGAGGTACGACAAAGACTTTTTACCGGAGAAACGTCAGCGCACAGACTGCAGCGATGGCAGCAGGGACCAGCCACTCCCACCTTACCACAGCGCCCTCTCAAACCATTCAGCTCACCAACATCTCAACGGACACACAGGTACTGCCACAGTCACAGCTGATCACTGAAGTTAAACATGTTATGTGTCACAATTAGACCTGAGAGGTTGTCCTGTTTCTCAGGAAATGGTCGAACCTACGGTGACTTCCATGGATGCTCCAGTGGCCTCAAGCAGTGACTGTGAGTACCGACCTGCTGTAATGATTCCACCTGGAGCTCAGCTCAGACGGTCAGTCAAAGTAACGACACCGTGTTTGTTTCTCCTTGCAGACCCCTCACCCACCCGCAACATTTGACAACAGCAGAAGAATGATATCACAAAACTATTTGAAGTGGTGCTTCTTCACTGGGAATAAATCCGTTTTTTTTTTTTTTTTTTTTTTTTTTACAGTACTATTGTTTTAAATGTGCAGAAGTACAAATTTTAACAGTGTTCCTTTATCTACGATTATTCGGTTAAAAAAAAAACAGAATCACCTGTTAAACGTTTAGGACTAAAAGATGATAATAATATATAGTTATTTGAGTACAAACCAAGCCTGGAGCTTAAACATCTCAGTTGCTGCTCAGCGGAACTCAGGACTCAAACCCTTTGGAACAGAAATCACTTATCCACATACTTCAAGAAAGAATGAAACAAAAGGGAGAATGTGTTGTGTAAAAAGACTGAGTCTCTTCATGTTGTTTAGGTGTTGAAGATGTCACCATATCTGCACAGCTGCAATGTTTTTACTTCTCACCTGTTGTTTTGTTGTTGAATCCACAATGTGGTCAAACTACCAGAGGGGGGCGTGTTTCTGAATGAGGCGAATGAATGCAGTGGTGTGAACATGGGTTTGTTGAGCGATACCTCCATGTTAACCCTGGACAGACTTGAGGACATTTATCTGCTTTATTTGTTTTTTGTTGTTTTTTTTTTTTTGTTTTTTTTTTTTTTTGCAACGATGCCCATTTCCTCTCTTGACTCCCAAGACTCCCTTTTTAAACCGTTTGAGTTTTCTCTTTCTAAATTGCATTTCTTTCTTCTGTTTTCTATTAAGGTGTTCAGAAAGAAAAGCGTTTTATTTTTTTTCTTTCACGACTGTGGACCATTTGTGTTTAGTTTTAAGAAAAAGATAAAAATACAGTTTGTGTCTTCTAGCATCATGAAATATACTGTGAAGTTGAGTTTGAACTGTACTATCAGTTATTTTTATAAGTAAAAAGCCTGTATCAGGATCCTCTTGCTTTGTCTGTAGAAGGATTTGTGTTGATTTTTGACCATATTCTCTTGACATGAGTCACTAGTGGATATGGTTAGATTTTGGGGGTGGGATTGTGAGGGTGGGGTATGGGGGAGGGTATTTCTTTCTTTGTTTTTCAACTTTAGGAAGAAGTTGAGGAAACTGCTGTTATACCTTTTTATTTTAGCATGTCTGAATTTATACATTGTGTAAGGTAAAAGCCTTAAATACATTTGTTAATGTCAGAAATTGTAATTTCTGTCTTTGGACTTTGTTTACAAGCTGTGTTGAATGACAAGCGTTGATTGATATGTTGGATTTATTTACCTTTTGTATTATAGAGAAATGATTGATTGTATCGAAGCCTTCTTGTTGAACAAACATATTTTCTCGTTCCATTTAAATGTAGACGGTAAACTTTCCACACGTTCACTATATTCAGGTTTGGTCAAATAACACACACGCTGTTTATCTCCCCCTGGTCAGTATTATAGCTTGTCACACATGTATTATTTCCATATATGAAACAACCAAAGACTGGTTATGTTTGGTGAGTCAAACTTTTTCACTGAATTCACATGCACACAAAAGCTGTATGAGCATGTCAAATTTTTTTATTAAATTGTAGATCTTTGCGCCATTTCCTCAACAAACCTATAACCGAGTTAATGTAACCTCTGCACCAGTTAGGTTTTGGCAGTTGTTTTTTTTTTTTGTCTCTGCTCAGTAAAAATGGTGTAATGAGGCTTACGCTCTACCAAGAGCACCATACAGACCCTTTATTATAACACATTAAGTTAAAATATTGAACGGGTAATGGCTTAAAGCCATGGTTAATTATTACATGACCATAATAACAAAACTGTACATTATATTGCATACACACTAAATGTAAGTGGGGGGGAGGGGCTGCCTCTTTTGTGAAACAAAAAGACAATAAAACAAATGAACTTCGATTGCAAATATGGATCTTCAATACAAAGTAACTATATATAAAAAAAAAAACTCACTGCAGTTTATATGCGTTCATATCACAACTGACATATCTAAACACTTTACAGGACATTCTTTTATAATCCCCAGTCCGTTCAAGTGGAGTTTCTGTAAATCATTCCAGTGCAGTCTGTTCAGTCCAGCTGGAATGGAGTCCAGTCAAATTCAGTTATTGATAAACCTGTTGTACAGTCAAAGGCTTGGAGAGGAAACTCGGCTCACTGCATTGAGATTTTAGGAGGACAGAGGTAGACCAGCTGTTCCCTGGACTGAGATGAAACAGAAAAAAATAGTTGATGGCAACAAAAATGCATTCATGCAGAATAGTGGTGGCCTAAACCCGTAGCCACACAACTGTAGGGCTAGTTCAGGATACCTGGAGCCACACCGAGCACGAGCTGCATCATAAAACCTGGTAACACTTTATTTGAAAGGGGTTGAATAAGACTGTCAAACACCTGTCATGAACATGAATAAGCCTTCATGAATATTTATGACTGCTGTCATAAAGTGTCATTTGGTAAAGTATGACACTTTTAATACAAAGTTGACATTATTCAAAATGTTTTTGTTACGACAACTTGACATTAACCAAGAAATCATTACTGATATAAATTTGTTATAAAAGTATTACTGATACTGATTGCACTTTAAAAATTAGGTAACTTTATGTTATTAAAGGTAAAGTTTAAACAGTAATGATTTCTTGGTTAATGTCAAGTTGTCATAACAAAGACATTTTGAATAATGTCAACTTTGTATTAAAAGTGTCATAATTTACCGAATGACGCTTTGTGACAACAGTGATAAATATTCATGAAGGCTTATTCATGTTCATGACAGGTGTTATGTCATGTTTATGACAGGGAGGCAAACCCCCCTTCAAATAAAGTGTTACCAAAAACCTTTCCCAGTCTCAAAAGTAGACGGGGGTTTGCCTCATGGACAGGAAGTGGAAAAACCCATTCTACTTTTTTAAAACCATGAACCATCTGTAAACCTACATCCTGAGTACTAGTGCTCTGTTAGGATCATATGAAACATTCAGTTCTTTAATATAAGGCAGAGTTTAGTTGGTCAGATATTTTTTAGATTAAGAAATTTAACAGTGCAGAAGAAGAAACAATCAAATTAGAGATATATGCCATAGATATCTGTTTTTATTCCAGTCGGTCAGTCAAGAATATGGAATATCTTCTGAAGTTGGATTAAAAAGACGTCCATGTCAAAGATACCACAAGGCACAAGAGGCCAAAAATATTATCTAGAGTAAGTGTTTGATTAGGCTATTCATGTTTTTACTCTTACTCTGATCGCTCTGCCACATTTGGTATTGATAAATGTTCATGTTCATTCTGAAACCAGAGAGAGAAACCACCAGAACGGGCCTCTGCAGCTGCAATGTTTCAGGTGGAACCAGAAGGCTTTTCCTGATCTGTCCCTGTCTCCCGAGCCAAGCTGAGTGACGGTACAGTGGAAGCTGCGTGAGCAGTGAGGCAGTTTTATCAGGAGGCTGAAACTCTGGACTCAGTGACGGAGTCTCTGCCACTCAACCTGGAGGCTGTGATGGTGAAGCTGGATCTGAAACGTTCAATTCCTCATCATGTTTGTCTTTCCTTACTCAGATCAAATGATGTACATTAGGGACAGAGCAAATGAATAAATATTTACATGTACATGTCACATTTTAGTCTTTGGCTAATTTTTAGTTGTCCAAAAATAGTTTATGTGGGATGTGGTTCAGATGAATCTGGTCTTAACACATCTGTTATTTCTCAGACTGTGATGTAGGAGCTTCACACCTCAATAAATACCATCTATAGTGAACTTAAACATTCACACCTTACTGTTATGAACCAGAACATGTTTGAACTTTACTAACGCGAACCTGACAGCATGTCACCACTATATAATATAAATGGTACATGTTTGAGGGGTTAATGTAACACTGCTGTGAAAATGAATCAGAAATACTTTGATGGAAGATCAAATCTGCAATCATTTGCTCTTCTTACCTGCAGAAGTGATTCTCTGAGGTCAGCTGGGTGTTGGCTTTTTGGGGAAATTGAGGAGAGGACTTACAGGAAAGAGTTCTGAGTAAATAACATGTTTGTCATTTTTGCCAGTTATGGGTTTGCAGTCAGTTTCCTGGTAAAGCTAACATTTTTAGAGAGTCTTTACCTGAAGGCTCTTCAGCATCTTTTCAAAGCAGTTTAGTCATAAATCTGCAAAGAATTCTCTGAGCTGTGGGTGGACATGACGGTCAATGGAGTTGACTCTTCCAAGAACACAATGACAAAAACAAAATGGATGTACAGAATATTTTCCTGACAGATTCACTAGACCTCAATTGGATTACTGAACACATGAAGGAAAGTTTTTAAAATATAATCTGATAGAAAAGAAGCATTTTATCTGTGAGCAGACAAAAAATGCAATGATTTTAATAGATTTTTTATGTATATAATTATTTCATTTCTCAGAATAAACTCTCATAGGAGTGAATGTGAGTTTAGTTATATGTGAGGCTGCAGGAGAAATTACAGATGCTCAGTCACCTGCTCTTTCTCCACTGGTGTCCATTTTGTCCATTTTCAGGTTTACAATTTAGCTTTGGTTGTATAAAATAAAGAATAAATCAGCCTGTCCGCTGTCTGAGAAATCCTGACTTTGTGTCAATGTGCAGGAGATCCAGCAACCTGGAACTGTTCTCACCACATCTCCATCCTTAGTGGCGTTTTAAATCCTCTGAAACTTTTTAACAATTACTCAACTGCAATTGATTTTCTGGCACAAATTTTCTAGTTCCGGTAAAATGCTAAAAAAAAAAAAAAATAAATAAAAAATCCTCTGCAGTGCTGCTGTAGTCACTGAGGAACTCTAGTTCTTTTTTTTTCTAGAAATTTATGTGATTAATCTCAAAATTTCAGAGCTTTTTTCTCACAAATTTTTGACTT